ATATTTCTTTTATTAATTTAAATGTTAATTTAATCAGTTTTGTTTGATAATATATTTTCAAAACAATTTACAATAGAAATCTCAAAGATTTATTTATTACTTTTACAACTCAAGCAATACATTTTTAAGAAAGTTTCTTCAGAATATTCTGGAACTCTAACTCGCTTATTCAGCGTATTTTTTGAACCAATAGAATTTATTTATTCGTAGATTTGGCGGTATTTTAGTGTTAGCAAATATTCTTTATACTATCTTTACGCAACAAGTTGTTTTGAGAACTTTCAAGTTTATCTTCAAGTTTCCATCTATGTCCGCATAAGAATAAGTTTTTAAAATACACGCTAAAAAAATTTACTTCATAACATCTTATTTTTCCAAATCAAATGTTTTTATATGAGAGAATGATTTTAAAACATCCGCTGATATTAAAACATTAAACTATACTTGTACATTATTCCTACCTTTTTTAATTGTATAATTTAAAAGGTATATTATATTATAATATAAAAAATATATATATCTTTTTCCATGTTTTGTTATAAATATATAATATAGGACTGTATTCACTGTCTTGAAAATGTACACTTAAACATTAATTTTTTAAAAATTAGTTTAAAATGCTACGTTCGTTGAAATTTAGAAGATCCTGTTTTTAGAAAGCGTCACTAATTTACCGAATAGTCGGTTAACCACAAATTGATGAGAACTGTTATCCGGTTTTTGAAATGGATAACCGGCGAAATCACTAGAAAGGATCCATAGTGAGCATAAGACCCATGAGAATGCCTACCTCCCCCTTTCCCTTCAGATTATTATTATTTTTTTTTAGAAACCGATATATTTAAAACAGCACAATGTTTAAAAATGTAAGTAAATTAGACTATTTAAAAGTGCCATGAAATTTAATGAAATTTTTTGGTGCAAATTTTAAAATTTATAAAAAAGTTGATAAGATATAGAGTACAATAAATCAATAAACGTCAAATAAAAAACGAACATCATGTTGCTTTAAATTTGAAGATTTTTCAAAATTCAAGATTATTCAAAACAAACACATTAGCAACAAACGCACTTCAGCAATTATTTCTTCAACAAACACACTTCAGCAATTAAATAATTTGGCAATTTATAGTTTTTTATTTATTATAAAAACACATATTTAAGATAAAAAAAACAAATAATTTTAGAGAGTTTTTAAAAAAACCATGCCAAAACATAACTTTTTTTAAATAGCGTTATAATTAAGTAAAATAATTAAGAATGCTATTAAAGAAAGTAATTATGTTTTAGCATGGTTTTTGCATGCGCTTACAAAAGCATACAAAGTTTTACTTTAAATGAATGCTTTTGCAATTACTTCTAAAGATACCATGCATAAACATTATGATTGCTTTTTTCTTAGTTGAAGAAAGCAATTATAATGCGCTTAAACTTAGTTGCTTTCTTTAATTAAAGAAAGCTATCGTATTGTTTAAGAATGCTTTTTTTTTTAATTAGTTAGCAATTGCATTAAAAGTTTAAAGCAAATACATTCATTATAAAAATTTTTTAGTACTGGAATCAATTAAAATAAAAATTGCACTTTTAAAAAGCACCAACTGTCAAAACTTGCAAAGAGCCGTGGCCAAGTTGTCAAAAGAAAGTATTATATGCGAGGTCATATAAGACGTGCACATCTCCTATGCGAAAGCTTGATATATATATATATATATATATATATATATATATATATATATATATATATATATATATATATATATATATATATATATATATATACTCATATAGTGTCGCTTTAAGAGCATTTTAATGTAAAAAAAGTCTCTTACGACTACAATTTTAATTACCTCGTCTCTTAAGCTGTTTTTGATTGTCATCGAAATGTCAAAGCAATTAATTTATGCGGAAGTACATTAAATTTAATTGTTTTTTAAAAAATTTTTAAAAAACCGCAATTATAACGACTAGAAAGTTTTTTTTAATTAGTGGTGTTTTTGTTATTGATTTAATAAAAAACATTTTTTAAACATGCGTAAATGTTGCTACATCAACTATCTTATAGCCTGACTCGCAACGGAGTGCTGCTACATCGACTGACTAATAGCCTGACTCGCAACGGAGTGCTGCTACATCGACTGACAAATAGCCTGACTCGCAACGGAGTGCTGCTACATCGACTGACAAATAGCCTGACTCGCAAAGGAATGCTGCTACATCGACTGACGAATAGCCTGACTCGCAAGGGAGTGCTGCTACAACGACTGACAAATAGCCTGACTCGCAAGAGAGTGCTGCTACATCGACTGAGGGTTTGGTTTGGCCAGGCAGTCTATCAATTAAAAAAAAAATATTTAATTTTTAAAACTTTTTCTGGTCTGGTTTATTAACGCGCTCTTTAAAACTACAGTTTATGGGAAATATTTTTTGATGCCACGCAAGAGACATGCAAGAGTATATATATATATATATATATATATATATATATATATATATATATATATATATATATATATATATATATATATATATATATATATATATATATATATATATATTGGTCGTGACATTATATTTTTAGTGGTTACTTATTTCTATTATAAATGATATAAATAAAATTTAAAATCATATTTTTTCTGTGAGTAATATTAAGAAAACTTTAATGATTAATATTTAATAATGATAGTAAAAGGTTAGAGTTATAAGTTAAAATTCACATTAAAAAAAAAATTAATTTAAATTGTATACTTGTATAATTGTTGTACTTTAAATTGTATAAAGTTGTTTTGTTGCTCTTTCACTTTAAACTATTTATTTAAAAGTTGTTAAAAGCTAAAGACTTTTTCAGCTAAAATTTACAAATTAATTCAATTTTTATAAACTTCTTTTGTTGCTCTCTCACTTTGAGCATTTTTTAGCATTATATTTTCTTTAGAGATTTTATTTATTAAATTCAAATAATTAATATACATATATTTATACAATATAAAGTTATAATTTTTATACTAATTATATTTTTAAATCATAAAATACTGTTTAACAATATAATGGTAAACATATATGGTAATATTGTAATCATTTATTAAAGTTTTCTTAAAAGAACCAACTAATTTAAATTTTGTGTACTTAATTTAGCGTTAAAAAACCAAAATGAATTGAACATTTTTTGAAGAGCAATGATAGCAAAGATTATAATGATAGAAATAAAATGATAAAAAAACATTTGATTTTTTTGCTTTAAAATCATGGAGTGCGAGAAAAGAGTGTGGACCAAAAATAAAATAATATTAAATTCTCCTAATACCAAATTTTTGGTATTAGGAGAATTTAAAAATTATCTTTAATTATTAATTTTTTTTATTTGTTTATGTATTCTTTTCTTGATTGATATGTAAAATTACATAAAAAATAATTATATAAATAATTTTATTTAGACATTAAAAATAAAAATAAAAAAGATTTATATGCTATTCTCCTAATATAAAAAAAAATCAATTAGAACCTCATCAAACCAATGCGACGATTTATTCAACCTTAACGTAATTAAAAAACACAATTAAAAATAATTTTCTATTAGAGTTTTAGTTTTTCAGATTTATAACAGTTGATTTTTTTTTAGAGTTATAGGTTTTAACTTTTTTTTTTTAATTTCTCTTTCATTAAGATTTCTTTATTTTTTTTATAGTTTAGCCTTTTTTTATTTTTTTTTTCTATTGTCTTTTTGTTAATGCATGTTTAATTATCTAAAGAGCTGTGGTCAAGCTTTCAAAATAAAAAATTGCATGATTGGTCAAGATTGGAGTGCAACCGCATGCCTTTCCTGTCCATGACTGCATACACCTTTAAAACCAAATTGACTAAATTGGCTATAATTTATGAACTCTTGATAGATATAGAACTATAGCCTTATCTTTTGAAGTTTTTTATAATAACTTTAATGTTAATGTATTGCAGAAATCGTGCTATTTATTTAATAAATAATTATTTAAGTAGTGTTTATTTTGTTGGAAAAAATACATATTTATATAAATAAATAAAATTTTATAAAATACTCTTTAACAATATAAATAAAATGTATTTATTATAAAACAATTATTTGAAGAAATTTGTTATAAAAGGCATTTCGCATAATATTTAAAAACATTTAAATAAAAGTTATTTTAAAATAGCGAAGTTATTTATCATAAAAAACTACATACTTTTAAAATAAAAAAAAGTTATCTTTTGTGTAATATTCTTTGATAATTTAAATAAACATTTTGATAAAACAATAAACTTTTAAAAGTAATTTGTTTATTTATTTAAAAGAATTTTGTGTGATATAAAACTGTTAAAAGAAATCAAAGTTTCAAAGTTATTTATTCCGAACATAAACTATGTTTTAAATAATTTCCTAAGTTTTATTATAAGTTTTATTTCTATTTTCTATAGAAATCCAATAGAATTTTATTTCTATTAGAATATAATTTTTCCTTTATTTAATTGTTATGCTTATTATTTTATGTTTAGTTAAGCTTAATTTTGTTCTGCAAATTTTAGAAATGCTTAAAATTTCAAAACATGAAAAAGCCATGGTCAAACTGTCTTCAGAAAATTTTTTTATGTATAGGCACACAAGGCATTCAACCGTATGCGCTTCCTATAACAGCCTGATATATATGTTGCATCAAATTTACATAATTCCTAAATTCGCATAATCTGCAGCTTTTTTGATTTGATGTATATACTTTGACTGACCATCAGGGTTTACAGATTATACATTTATTGACTGACTGTAAGGAAGAACCAGCAAAAAGCTACAGATTTTACAAATTTGGAAATTACGCAAATTCAGCACACACATATATTTGTTGTTCTTACAAATTTACCTTAGTTTGAAGGTTAAAATGTCAAGGTCAAAAGGAAATATTATTAGTATAAAATACTGCTGCAGTTTACATGTAAGCATTTATACATATACATATTTATAAAAACATATACAAAAAATTTGCTTATAAACAAACCTTCTGTTATTTCTTCCTCACTTGTTCCCTTGACTTGAGAGAAAGACCATTTTACTGGACCATCATCTGATCCTAAATAAATGTTAAGAATCACAATAAAGTCGCTATAACAATAAGAAAATTAAGTAAATTATTAACTTAATTTGAAGCAGGAGAATTCAGAGAAAAAGCTTTAAAAAAGTATTTATTAATATACTCTAGATTTATTATTAAAAAAAAGTAAAAAAAAAAAATAATGAAAATTCTGACTTTCATTTATATTGACATTTAAATACTCCTTATAAGTTCTATATTTTAAATACAATTAACAAAAAGTAAACCAAGTCAAAGTAGCAAACAGATTTAGGCTAACATTACACTATTAGAAATATTCATATTTATTCACATATATTTCACACATACACCGGCATGATTTGCAAAAATTTTGCATGTTTTTTTTTTAAAAAATTAGTTATGTTAGTTGCATTCGTGCATGTTATAGCATGATATAATGAAATAAATGAATATAACTACAATGATATATGACAGTCATAACCAAACCAAAATAAATCTGTTATAAAAAAGTATTATTTCAATTAAGATTTGATTTAAGTCACAGTAATTAGTTTTTTGTTGTAGTAATCTAGAAATACTGCCTAAGTCATTTTAATGCTTTCACTTGAAGTAACTCATTAGTATTTTCCAGCCTTCTTGAATTAAAGTTTTATAGAACTTTATTGATAAAGATTTTGTCTTTTTGTAAACTAAATAAGATTGGTTTAAAAATAACTGATTTTCATTCAACTTATGATTTGTTTATTAATCTTTAAAGAAAACTTCATATACTGTGAACAAAATTGATAATAGACTTTATTTTCATGAACAATTCAAGAGTACTTTAAGTAACTTTAAACCCTAACCAATAAAGGTCTTTTATTGCTATTTTTACAGCCTGTATTCTGGAGCTGTATACTGTTTGATTTCAGATAAAATTCAAATCAGGTTTTCAAAATTTGTATGCTTATTAATTTTTATGGTTTTAATAACACTATTATTGTTAATGGTCACTAAACACAATTCTTAACATTACACTAGAAAGTCCTCAATCTTATTATACTAACTTTTACTTACATACTGCACTTATTACTTTTTTTATATTGTTAAGTAATTATATTTACACGTATTTGTGCAATGCATATATGCTTTCCACTTGATATATACATATCACTAAAAAATTGTGCAAGCTATTTATTACTAATTAAAACCAACAGTATTAATATTTTTTTACCAATAGTAGCTATACTGGGATTATACACAAATATTAGTCTAGATTCTGTAAGCAAAACATAACATTAGCAATTGATGCAATTTTCTTCAGCACAAGAAAACTATTTTCACAACATTTGGAAAAAAATTACTCCAGGTTAAAGTCTTTTAAATAATGTTGTTGTAATGTAAACAGTTAAAACTGTTTAGTTTAACATGTTCGTTGAACAAATTAATCATACTAAGGATTCCCTTCTTAATTTCAAATGATTGAAAACATTCTATTCCTTTCTTACAAACATCCTTTTTAGATAGATTCACACCTCAAAGATATCGTTGGCCAAAGAATCTTAGAAATCAAAGAGTAAAAATTAGAACTAGTATTTCAACATATACCGGTAGTCCGTACTCTGAAAGGTTTTCCTTTGATTAATGAGAAGCTCTTACCCGAAGACATATTAACAAAGACCACCATAGACAGCTATAAAACTTTTTATTTTCACCATAAACATAAATTTAATCTGGGAAAGATATTTGATTATAGAAATATTATTGGATTTAGATCCGCAATTTTTCGTGGATCTAGCTACGCCATATTGAATTATAACTTTTGGGAGTAATAGGAGTAGATGCCGCTGACCCGCGTAATATGTTTGAAAATTTTTAATCTTTTTAGTTACCAAACTTCACTTTTATTCAAATAAAAAAATATAATACAATAATTAGTAATATAAATATATGAAAATAAATATCATATAATATATGGTAAGTTAAAAGCGTAAATTAAGTCAAAATTTGCGCATCAAGAAAATTTTGTTTTTGCATTTAAAGTAAAGGGTGACTCATAGCACAAGTTTTTCCATGCCCGCCGCGACAATTTTTGACGCCTTATGTAAAAACTTCTCTAGCGCCCCATCAGATCCAATAAATATGAAAAGCGATTTGATGACCAATCCAAGCACAAAAAAAATACATGCGCGAGAATCTGCCACTTCTTGTGATAAGACACCAGGTTGTTTTTTTTTTTACGAAAAATGTTGTGACAACATGTGACAACATTTTTGTTGTCATATGTTGTGACAAAAATATTTTTTATGTTGGCATGGACGCAAAAGCATTTAGGCTTAACAACATTTAGGCTTAACAACAACATTTAACAACATTTAAAGAAAAGAATTATTTTCTATTTTTGTATTACGCAGTCTGGTTTTTACTTATGCTATTTTTTTACGATAAATAATTTTAGTCCTATATTTATTTTAATGCTTATTGAAACTTTTTACGCAAACTTTTTAAAAGGTATGTAACAAAATTTACACGCTTGTTCCAAAAGTTTACCTTGGTATAAAACAATGCAGCAAACAAGATTTTTTTCTTCAACATGTATGCAAGAAAATTACTTGTTTTTTTCTTTAGGTTTTTTTTTTTAATTATTTATTCAAGACTTAAAAATGGAATTATAAAAAGTAAATTGTGACTTTTTTTTTTAAACTTTCATGACTTATTGGAAAAAAGTTTTTATTAATTAATTTAAAAATTTGATTTCTTGGTGGCTGGCCTCTTCAAACTTCCTGGCACCGCAATGGTTTCCTAGGCTGAACTTGGGCAAAAACGGGGCAGGAAACATAATAAAGTTATACTTTAATTAAAATTAGCGTCAAGCAGTTTGCATATAATTTCCTTTTTAATTAATTCGAGAGGTAAACTAAATGTCTATGTTGCTTAGTTGTTGGCCGAAAAAAAGGGTTTTTTTTAGTTTTAACATCTCTTTGTTATAGATCTCGGCTTTTATGGAATGTTTCCCCAAAACCTAGCTCATAATGTTGGCTATTAATTTAAGTCAAAGCTAGCCAAGTCAAAGCCAGCTTTGGTAAAAAAAAAAAAGTTTTGTGGTCAGGTAAAAAAATTTTATCCTTAATACAGTGGTTAGAAATATAATAATTCGAAAATCCAAGGTATGCCAACAATAAATTAATTAAAAAATAAATAAAAAAACAAACTAAAAAAACCCATTTGAGTCAGGCTTTTTTGAAAAAACAGGGTGTTTTTTTCTAACTCTGCACAGACTAGATATTGCATTTGAACAAAATTGTATAAGTGAAAAAAATTTGCTACTGGTTGATAAAAAGAAAAAAAAATGCATATATAAACTTTTTAAACAAATGACTAAAATCTAAATATTAAATAATCAAAAAAGACAGAAATATACTATGTACATTAGGGGTATGAATTTTTTTTTTCAAGTAGTGGCCCTATAACTACTGGTGGAGCAATTGGCGTCCTATGATTCAACCGAATCCCTAATTTCAATTTAGAACCGAACATGAGAAATTTTTTACACAACCGAATTTATTTACGAAAAAAATTAGAACCGAAAAAATTTCAATCGAATTTTCGATCGAAAGTCATTAATGATTTTAGAACCGAAAAAATTTCGATCGAATTTTCGATCGAAAGTCATTAATGATTTTAGAACCGAATTTCATTAAAATGGTTTACAACCGAAAGTTACACTGTTATCAAACATTGTATATTTTAGAAAACGATGAGGAAAAACGAAGAATAATGAATGAAAAGGTTGCTGACCCATACCAAACCCTCAGTTGATGTAGCAGCACTCCACTGCGAGTCAGTCTGTCGATGTATGTACTGAAGCCCCCAGCAGCAGGCTATTTGACGTTAGGTGAAAAAAAAAGGATTTTGTAATTCGATCCAAATTTTTGCGTTTGTAAAATTCGGTTTAAAAACTTTCGGCGCAAGAAAGGATTTTGTAATTCGATCCTGCAATGAAAGTATACTTTTCGGTTCTAAAATTTTCGGTTGTGAAATATTTCGGTGATATTTTCGAGGATAAATATTTTCGGCTCTATCATGTGACACGAAGCAATTACCTAAAATCATAAAAATAAACTATATAACCCAAAAAACCCTCTGCGCAAATCCATTTTAAAGTATTGCTAAAACTTTGAAAATTTGCCAAAATAACTCATATTGTATAACTATTATATATTGTATATATTTAAATATAAATTGCATTTTAGATTTATAAGATATCAGAGAATAATTTAATTGGACAAACTGATCGCTATTTCAATATTTCAAAGCCAAGAAATCGTATATATGGAAATTTGATTGAGAAACCACTGATGGATTTTTCAAAATTATCTAAGACAAAGCAGATATTAGGAACATATCATTTCCTCTTAGAATTGGATAATACTCCTAAATTTAGTGATGTTATTAAATAAATCTCAATTGAAGTTTGTCAAATAAGGAATAAAATAAGAATACCATGTTTTACGGAGAAATCTGTGCAAAGAAAGGTTGTCTGCCATTAAAATCTATAAATTTGTTATTAAATCAACATAAAGTACGAATAAGAAGACAAATGTTATAAACAGCTGGGATAAATTATTTGACTTATTGCCTAAAAATTTTAAATTTAAAAATCTGGAAGACAAAATTTAAAAATCTGGAAGACAAACTCTTTTATAAACTTTAGAAATCTTCCGATGGGTGCAAAGGCCAGTACAGTATTGTGACAGAGCCTATTACAACACATCCGCCACTTAAAAGTAAAGAACTTGAAACAAATTATAGTCAATTGTTTGATGATACAGATAATTCTAGTAGTGAAAGTTCAGAAGATAATAGTACAAATGATGATTATACAATCGCTTTGAAACGTGCAAAGATCACTAGTAAAATGGTAGCTAAGAAAATGAAGGGTATCCGATAAGCTATACGGCAAAGATTGCAGAAGCTACATTCAATGCAGTTGGTGAGACATCGTTTGCAGATGCAAGTAGCATCTACAACACTCTTGCATGAATTAAGCTTGATTCAATCTTATATCGACTCTTTTGAAGAAATGTGGTGCTTACAATGAGAGTAATGCTATGCTTTGGTATAAGCATAGACAAACAATACTATTACAGCACTTGCATTTTGAGCAAGTCTAAATCTTTGGTTATATTTTTAAAAAAATTGAAGAAAGGCAACTCTGTTTTTATTTATAACGTTACACAATATTATCATCATGTATCATTCTCGTCGACTTGATGTTCTCAACCTAACTCTTGAACATTTTATAAACTTATAGTTTAATTCCTTATTAACATCACCTAATATTAACTTCTGGTTTATTATTTAGTTGATTTGTAAGTACCCTATTTTAATTAGAAAATACAAGCCTTACGGGCTAGTTAATAAAAGTAAAAAATATGGAAGGAAAGATTACACGAAGCAAGATTTGTTTTGTAGAGGATACAAGTCTTATTGAGAGTCAATGAATTTAACCTAGATTCATTTTTCTAAATAGGACCTATTTCAAATGCACAATGGAATTCTGAAGCTATCTATAGCTTGAAATACATGATTTTGAGTCAATAATAGAGGCGGGCAATTTTATTCTAGATCACTGGGCCAAACCATGATTCTCTTGCAGAAGAAGTATGAACAATATAACATAGTTAAAATTGGCATTAACTAGTATTTGTCTTGAGTGTTTAAAAAGACACTGCGATATTTGGAATGATTATCCATTAGACATTGCCCAGCTAGCACACTTACGTATGTAAAACCATCGCGAACGCCGGCTCTTTTTTCCGATACAACACCAACGTTGATCCAATGTCATTTGGTTAATGATAAAATTATTACCGACGGAACTAAAAACATCTGGCAAATTTACATTGGTCCAATGTATGTAAAAACATTGCAAAAAGTTGATTGTTTTTACGATATTAACCCAATGTTGATCCAATGTATATAATTCGACGTTGATTAAATGTATATAAATCAACGTTGATCCAATGTATGTGAAAACATGGCAAAAAGTTGATTTTTTTTTACGATCTAAAACCTTACGTTGATCCAATGTATAAATTTCGACGTTGATTCAATGTATATAAATCAACGTTGATCCAATGTATGTAAATACATCGCAAAAAGTTATATAGTTTAAAAAAAATCTTCCGTGATTATTAAAATATCAAACCACAATCAACACAAACATGATTTTTGTTCTAATGATCAAGCATTTACTATTTTATGAATGTAATGTTATTACTTACATCAGCTGTATACATACATCCATACATCCATACACACATACACATACATATATGCAAAGATAATAGAATTAAATGAAATTTTAATTCCGAGTTGTATTGAAACCAACGTTTTGCCATTTAAAGTTCAACGTTGAACCAACGTAAATACAACGTTGTGCCAACTTAAAATACAACGTTAAGCCAATGTATAAAATAAAATGTTGAATCAACGTAGATATAATATAGTATAACCATTTTCCGACTTTAATAAAACGTTTTATCAACATTGGTTTTTAGTTGTTGGCGACGTCGCATTTGTAACCATAATGATATAAAAACAACGTTGGCAGCCGATGTTGGGCCAACAAAACGCGCGATATTGTTCTAATGTTTAAACAACGTATGTGTGCTAGCTAGGTGATTACACAAATGAAGTGTCGCTTGCTAAAGTTGAATTATTTATTGCTAATTCCAAGTAATATATTATAGTTCCAAGAAATCTATCATAATAATTTATTATTTAAAGAAACATCATTAACTTAGAGGCCAAATTTCTAAGACACTCAGTCTTTT